AGTTCTCTCAAGTGGAGCTAGGAGTACCCAGGTGTCAGCCAGGGCACTGTTTTGAGAGTTGGGGGGGATTGTGTGTGTGTGTGTGTGTGTGTGTGTGTGTGTGTTGGGGGTGGGGGTGGGGGATCAGTGGTAAAGTTCTCTCAAGTGGAGCTCGGAGTATCAGCCTGGGCGCTTTTTTGAGAGTTAGGATGATGATGATGATGATGATGATGATGATGATGATGATGATGATGATAATGATGTGTGTGTGTGTGTGTGTGTGTGTGTGTGTCGGGGGGGGTGAGGGTGGGGGGAGGGTGAATGGTAAAGTTCTCTCAAGTGGAGCTCGGAGTACCCAGGTGTCAGCCAGGGCTTCCTCCCTTCCGTGATTGGCAAGGTTCAGTTCGACATGTGGCGTGGCTTGGACCCTGAGGGGCCACCCCAGCGGGTGCTTTGCGGTGCAGGATGCGGCCCCCTCGATTGCTGCACCTCAGGATGCTGTGGGGGGGAAGCTTCGGGATCTTGCCCCCAAATGCTGCTGGAGGGCCAACCAAGATCACAGTTGGTGGTTGATGGGGTCCTCCAGGGCCACCTATGATTCTGAGGGTTATCAGGGCCACCCGGCAGGGCTTGTGCCCCCCACCCCCCATCTGTGGGGGCCACCAGGTTACGTGTCCTGACATATTCGGGAAGCCGTGTGGTGTCAGGGATTGAGCTGGAGGGGTCCTACATGTTGTGCAAGGCATATCATTACCCCAGACTGCTGGTGGGTTGCCCTGTAATGACACTCCCTGTGCGGGGAAAGGGGTCTCTGGGTCCTGAGGCTTTGTAGATGCGTTCGTTCAGACAGGAATCGCCTTGCGCTGGCGCTGACTACACGGAAGCATCCTGGGAAGCCCGAGAAGGCATCCAAGGAGGGGCAGGTGATGACATCCCTTGACTTAGTGAGAGATGATAAATTTCTGCACAGCTCCAAGAAGAGGACGGAAGGTATACGAGATCAGATGTTGCAGGGTGCTGGCCACAGACTCTGCATGTCCATTTACCCCCCCTTTTTGAATTCACTGCATTTTGTATGATAGTCACACTTTTGTGCATTTTTGTTTTCTCATTTATGCTTTTATAAGTGTATATAACATCTCTTGTCCTTGCATTATTCCCCAAGCGTCTGATAAATCCAATGAGGCTTATTATGACAGTGATATATGTACTGGGTACTGACTTAATTCCATTCAATTTGCAGAAAGTACCACATTTTTATTGCCTGTTTTAAAACCTACCCGGCAGGGATGTAGTTCAGAGGGAGAGCACTTGCATTACAAAGGCAAAGAAGAGAAAAGAAAAACTAACCTAAGGGACCAAGGATGTGACTGCCTCACAAGTGTGAGGTCCTGGATTTGATCCTCATAATGATCAATTAAAAATTAAATTATATTAAAATAAGGTAATAAAGAACATGCTGGCTACATTTAAAGGTATATACCAAAAAATAAAAATAAAAAAAATAAAGGTGTATACCATATGCTGAAACATATACCTGTTGTAAACTTTTATTACCTCCCCGTCACAGTCGTCCCGTTGTTCATTGATTTGCTCGAGCGGGCCCAGTAACGTCTCCATCATGAGACTTGTTGTTACTGTGTTTGGTATATCAAATACGTCACGGGTAGCTTGCCAGGCTCTCCGAGAGGGGCGGAGGGATCGAACTCGGGTCAGCCATGTTGGCCACTTGTAAGGCAAACGCCCTACCGCTGTGCTATTGCTCCAGCCCTTTATTGCCTCAATAAAAATAAATAAGCAGCATGAAAAATAAAAACATGACATGTTGGCAAAAAGCCCAAATACCTCAAGATAAGACAATCCTCCATTAAAAATTACCCAGTGGCAGTTTCAAAAATATTTGTCTTTCTTATCACCAATGCAGGGAAGATTGCAGTAATTGAAAAGCATGGGAAGAAAAGGATTTCAGCAGCCTCAGCTGAAGATGAGGGGTAATATGCTCAAAATAATTTTTGCCTATGAAATAAAGTATTTAAGGAAAGTTATTTTGGTTGTTCAGCAAGAAACAGTATGTAAAAATACTGCTGTAGGATATTTCATCCCAAACAAGCGAATTTAATGAATCCTTAATTAAAAGTTTGAAATGTGATTTTTTTTCACAGGGGTGAAGTGCAGAGTATGCTGTCAACACTCGGAGGTATGTTTTAGGAGATAGGCGATTTAAATAGATTAAAAACTATATAACCGGTGTAATAGAAAATACTGATCTTGAGAGTAGAGACTGTTATTTATGCATAGTCCTCGAACATAAGATATTTTTTCATCAGTATGTGATTCAGTTTCATCAGTTTCTTTATTTCAACTTTTCTCATTGCTGAGATGAAGAGTGAAAATGGTTCAAACAATGCTGAGGTAAGAATAGTACTTTATTTCATACATATGTGAGTCCAAGGGTGTGAAATTTATAGAACAAAAATGGATGGGAAAGGTTTCTATTTTTCAGTGACACATTATGGGCCATATGAAACAAGCACACACACGTATATATGCCAGTTTTTCATTTCCTCAATTTCTTTGACATTCCTGTGTTTTGTTTAGGAGAAGCAGTGTAACAGAAGTCTTAAAAATAATGTTATTTTTTTACATTATTAAACATTGTAGTTGAGAAGCAAAATGATATAATTAGAGATTATAATCAGATAAAATATGCAAACTTTTTTCTTATGTATGTGTATCTTTTAAATCTTTAATTTTATCATTGAGGTAGCATAATTTATAATAGTGTTGATGATTATGCTTTTGGTGTACAGCATTACTGCGTATCCACTGACATCAAAGTGCCAAAATCTCTCCACTACTGTCCCTTAGTCCCCCCTTAGCCCCATCCTTCCCTATCCTTTGCCTAAAGATTATAACATTTAAAAGGTATTGTCAAAATCAGTTACATTAGCTGGTAGGGAAATAATACTCTTTAAGTCAGTAATTTGCTTCTGTAGTTTAAATTAAATGTAGTTTAAATTCATTTAAAACTTTGTGTTCTTTGGTGCCAAAAATTTGTAATCTGTCTTATAAATACTATTTTAGGCGGATATTAGAAGTATAAACTACGTGAAAGCACTTAGGAATTTTTTTTGATGGAAAGCATTTCTATCATGATTAATAAAAACAGGATGAGTAAGCTTGAATTTAGCATGATTAAAGATAGTAAAAGTTTATAAAATAGAGTACTTAAGAGTAAAAAATATCCTCAAATAAATTTTACAAAAGTATTCAAAAGGGTTTCTGAACAAATTATCTATGTATTTACTTAGATTTCTATGCTTGGGTTGTAGTTTAAACGGTGGAACGCAGACCTTGCAAGGCCCTGGACTGGATACTTGAGAACTGTGGCATACAGCCACCACAACAATATCTAAAGAAAAGTTTTCTTGGGGCTGGAACAATAGTACGCATGTAGGGTGTTTGCCCCTGAGCATCACGTATTGCCCAGAAACCAAAAAAGAAAAAAAAATTTTTTTCTCTATGTCTATTTTGCCTCTTTTAGCAAAAAATAGATCTGTCTGTTTTAGCAAAAAATAGACATGGTCACTGTCAGTGTCCTCCCATTGTTCATCAGTTTGCTCGAGCAGGGCCAGTAACATCTCCATCTTGAGACTTGTTGCTGTGTTTGGCATATCGAATATGTCACGGGGAGCTTGCCAGGCTTTGCTGTGCCGGCGAGATACTCTCGGTAGCTTGCTGGGCTCTCCAAGAGGGGTGGAAGAATTGAACCCGGATTGGTCGGGTTGGCTGTGTGCAAGGCAAACACCCTACCTGCTGTGCTATCACTCCACCCCATGGTATTTTTAAATAATTTTATTATACCTTGACATAACTTTTAATCATTTGTAGAGTTTTTTTAATTTTTAATTTTTTTTTTTTTGCTTTTTGGGTCACACCTGGCGATGCCCAGGGGTTACTCCTGGCTCTGCACTCAGGAATCACCCCTGGCGGTGCTCAGGGGGTCATATAGGATGCTGGGAATTGAACCCGCATTGGCCGTGTGCAAGGCAAACGCCTTACCTGCTGTGCTATTGCTCCAGCCCCTCATTTTTAATTTTTGGACTACTCATGGTGCTCAGGGGATCATACAATGCTTTGGACTTAACCTCCTGTATGCAAAACATGTGCTTCAACCATGCACTTAACCTCCCCAACCTACATTAATAAATAGGAAAACTAGAAAATTAAATTATGCCCTGGAGATCCTTGTTTCATTTATTAGCTTTTTAAAATACAGGAAAATTAGAATTTAGAATACTAATAGCTAAAACTTTTTTTCAGAAGGGAAAAAAGCAGATTTTGCTTTTTGGTATTATCCTTATTTAAAAAATAAATTTGTCTACATGATGCTTAGAGACACATGCACACATGAGCAGTGCACACGCACGCACACACACACACACACACACACACACACACCATAGCTGTGGTGCTTTCCAAGGTATATCATGTTGTGTTTGTGCATGCTGCTGTGGGGTGCATCAAAATTTGCACTGTTTTGGTTGTGTTACTCTTGTTTTCCAGAGGTCACAGTTCCTGGTCATGGTGCTTATACATCTTTTAGTTGCAGTGCTTGCTAGGGTTTACCTCTTTGTAGTACTTACACACATCTGACTGATTTTGCCAGATATGGCTTGTGGTGCCAGGGATTGCAGACAGCAGAGCTATCAGATTCAAATAGCATTCAAATTTGGCATTATTGGCAGCACTGGGGATTGAATTCAAGACCACATGTGTACAAAGTTGGCATTTTAAACCACTACACTTACTCTGGGCCCCATTTTAGGCCCGTGTGTGTGTGTGTGTGTGTGTGTGTGTGTGTGTGTGTGTATGTGCACGTGCGCACGCGTGTGTGCGATGCTGATCAAACCCATTGCCTCCCATATATATAAGGCAAGTCCTCTACCACTAATTACATCGCTGACCTAGTGAGCATTCTTAAATTTTTATCTTAAGTTTCTTTCCATAATTATTGAACCAACTTGATGGTATTTATTTTAATATGTAAAAGCATATATAATTTTCTTCAACATTAAATTTAATGAATGTTTTCCAAATAGCTGACATTGACAAGACTCTAATTGCCAAGAGAAAAAGACTAGAAATGTATACCAAAGCTTCTCTCAGAACTAGTAGACAGAAAATTGAAAATATTTGGAAAGTAGAACAAGAGCAAAGGTAAGATTGTGTTTTTTTCATAGCCTCAGCTTCTGTATAATTTCCTAGTATTTATCAGTGCAAATTATGCATATCATTTTAATTTTGTACTTTCTGAGATCTCTAGTAAAAAAATATTTGGGAGTGGGGTTATAGAGGCCACACCTGGCAATACTCAAGGGCTGCTCACTGCTTTATGCTCCAGCATCACCCAGTGGTACTCATGGGACCAAGTGGTACCAGGGATTGAACCCAACTTTTCAGCATGCATGCATGCATATACCTAGCCCTTTGAAGGATCTCTCTGGTATATCTATCTCCCCAGTTGACTTGATTTTTCTCTGAGCAAGTAAAGTCTTTAATCCTATAGCCTCACTCCTTTATAGATTTGAGATATATTATATTACTAGTAATTAATAATTATCTTTTAATAACAATCTTTATTGGAACATAGGTAATATATATTTATTCTAGAATTTTATTAAGTGAATGAAAAGTTAATACAGCCATTAGCCTTGCAAAATCTAACAATGTAGAAAGAGATAAATTTTATATTGTAAATAATTTGTACGTTAAGCTGTTTTGACTATTCTTTTGCATAAAACCACTAAACCAAAATGGGGTGAAATTAAATAAAATGTTTATAAGATTTTTATGAAAAATATAACTTTGAACCTATTTATCATATTAGAATGTATATCTAATAGAAGAAAATAGAAAGTGAACTGCTTGGAGATACAATTTTTGTAGGCATCAGAGGTATCCCAAGCTCTGCTTAGGAAGCACAGGAGTGGACTTGGTCAGCAGTGCCAGCCGTTCAGTGCATAACCTGGGAATGCAAAGCTACAAGGGCCCTGAAGTACTTAGGTATATTCAGTTCACCCCAGCTGGACACAGGGTCCTCCATCCAAGTACCAAGTAATGCTTGGGGAACAGTGAGATACCAGGGATCAAAACAGGGATCAGACTGAGGTGTGCCTTAACTCCTGTACTGTCTCTTTGGCCCTGATAAAATAGACTTAATTTTTTAATTAATGTAATAAACTTTAAATTTTTTGGTAGGAGGCCACACCTGGTAATGCTCAGGTTTGCTGAGCATTCTGACTTTGCCCTCAGGAACCACTTCTGGTGGTACTTGGAGGACTGTATGGTATGCTGGGGGTTGAACCTGGGTTGGCCACATGCAAGGCAAGTGTACTATCTACTGTACTATCACTTCAGCCACAGAACCTTTAATTTACAATGGAAGAGACTTTTCTGTTAGTCCAGAAAATAAATATTTCTGAAATCAACATAAAATCATAATTTAACTTGTTTTTACATAATTTTACTTGTTTTTACAAATTTAAGGCACAGTGATTTTTTTATAGTAGCACTGTAGCACTATCCTCCAGTTGTTCATCGATTTGCTCAAGCAGACCCAGTAACATCACCGTTGTGAGACTTGTTACTGTGTTTGTCATATTGAATACGTCACAGGTAGCTTGCCAGGCTTTGCCATGTAGGCGAGATACTCTTGGTAGCTAGTATGTAAATTATATTAAATTAGTACTTTTTCTTATATAAAATGTGGCAATATTTATTATGTCTTATAGGCAGAAACTTAGCCAAGAATATTCTCAGCAGTTTCTCACCTTGTTTCAGCAGTGGGATGTAGATATGCAGAAAGCTCAGAAACAGGAACAACAACTAACTGTTAAGTATTATGCTTGCTTTTTCTGGCTATAATTAATATATTATAACTAAAGATCATATAGTAATGGAGAACCTGGTCTCATAGTAGACCCATAGAATGCAGCTAGATTTTATTACCCACAGCTTTCTTTATGTTTGGGTACTGAACTGTAAACCAGAGAAATATAAACACACACTCTACTAATAAAAACTCTTAGTCTTTACTTATTATATTAACTAGGATTCTTCAGTGCCAAGAAGAAAACTGTCAAACTCCACTAATCCTATATCAGTATATGTTAAATAAGTTTAGGGAGTAGATTAGCTTCAGGTATAATTGGATAGCATGAGGAAGAATTGCTCATGTGTTTTATGGACTTTATCTTCCGTTCATAGCAGTCTTTCTCAGTGGTGCTAGTGAAAAAGCTTCTTGTAGATATCCTATAAGTTTAGTAACTCTAGTGGACTAAGATAGTCTTTCTTAATGGCTCGGGTAGAAGTCTTTGTAGTCAGGTGTTCTACTACTGAGCTCTATCCCCAGAAAAAATCTTCTGGAAGATAGTCACTGATCTGATTTGGATCATTTGCTATTTCTGAACCACAATCTTTTTTTTCTGCAAGGGTGACTCCCAAGTGGTACCAACTCGGGAGGTCCAGGGTTTCTCCAGGTGATTCTCAGCCAACTAAACCGGTGGTTCCAATACAATATGAGGACAGAGGATTTGGTGGTAGATCCTGTGGTGTTGAGAATTAAACTGTGCTTTTCCTCCTTAACACATTCACCTTAATCTACTTACTGTCTTTCATGTCCCTACTCTTAATAACCAGATGTGTGTTAACTGATCATCTTAATGGGAGATGGAAGTTATCCAAACCCATATATATATATATATTAATCTTTGAATCTATCTTCACTATCTTTGAATTTTATCCTATCGTAGCTTACTGTGAAATGTGTAATAATTTTGACAGCTAAGATGCTGTTCATGTCAAATGATTTTAGAGGTTGGTTTGACAACCCTTTGGGAAATGTTAATTTAAGATACATATGAAACAAGGAGATAAGCAAACTGTGCCATTAATCTGAATTTTCAGGAAAGAAATACAGGTGGAACATACAAAGATGGAAATTATCAACATAAAAATAGCATTTAAACCATGAGATTGGATGAGATTCCCCATGAGGGATTAAAAATGTAAAAGAGAAGTCTGATGACCCAGCATTGGATTAAGTACTTCAATGTAGAGTTCTATAAGATGAGGAAAAAATAGTAAAGGAAGCTGTTAATGAATGGCTTAATATCTAGAAAGAAAACCATTCTAAGGAAAGTGAAGCAGACCTTTTAGGGAAGAAAGGATTAAATTTGTGATATTCTACTTATAGGCTAAATAAGGTCAAGTTAGCAATGTGAAGGTCATTGATTTTTTTTTTTTTTTTGCTTTTTGGGTCACACCCGGAGATGCACAGTGATTAACTCCTGGTTCTGCACTCAGGAATTACTCCTGGAGATGCTCAGGGGACCATATGGGATGCTGGGAATCAAACCCGGGTCGGCTGCATGCAAGGCAAATGCCCTACCCACTCCAGCCCCAAGGTCATTGATATTTTTGATGAGAGCGAGTTTTATGGACTAATAGTATAAAAATCTTATTGAGGTTAAGTGTATGAAATAATAGGAAAGAAAGAAATGGGGCAGGTAATAATTTGAATAGAAGAAATCATAATTTTTGCCCGTTTGATTTTTTTTTTTAGAAATAGACAAACAGCAGCATCTTTGTGTGGTGATAGAAAATCAGCTTGACGGGAAAATACAAAATAATGAAGCGAGGTGTATAGTTGCTAAATAATTAAGAATTATGTAACAAAAATAAATTGACCTTAATAGGGAAAAAGGAAAGTTCATCCTAAAAACTGAAGAAGGGGCCAGAGAGATAGTACCGCAGGTATAGTGTGTACTTTGTGTGCTGTGGCACGGGTTTAGTTCTGGCACCACATTTGGTGTTCAGAACCAGGATGAAGCTCTGAGTATAGCAGGGTATGCCTCTTTGCCACCCCCACACTCCCAAAATGGGGAAAAGCAAATTATAAAAGCATAGATGGATGTAGGTGGGTAGATAGATAAGGTGAGAAGAGATCTCTGGATTACTTCTGTTTAAATAATTAAAACCATTTAAAGCTGGAAAAGATGTTGCTTTTTGAGATCAAATGAGAGTTAATCAAATGCTTTCCTGAGTTGACCAGTGACTGAATTAGAGAAAACTGCCCAGCAACATTAACATATTAATATTAAGCATCGTTTTAACAAATTTTATTATCATTATGTTTTAACATAAGCATTAATATATTTGACAGTAAGCATAGTTTGGTTAACATAGTGACCATGAGTTCAAAGCAAGATACCTCACCATGGTAGGTATCCTCACAACTGTAGGATTTTTTCTACTACATGTGGAATAGCTGGGGAGTTGGACTCTATATTTGAAGTTTAGCTAAAGTAATGTAATTATGAAAGAAGCAGAATATTTATGCAAAGGAGTAATTGACAGGTTTAAGTTGGAAAAGAGAGAAGGGAAGACATGGAATTAAGGTAGAGGACAGTGATGAATGGATTTTGAATGAATGGATGAATGGATTTTGGGCCTAGATAGAGATTGATTTTAAAAAAAAAAAGCAGCTTTGGAAAGAAAGATGGCGGCCGCACGGGAGCCTTGTGGACAGCGGATATGAGCCGAGGGTCGGGGGCAACAAAAACCTTATGGGAAGGGGGGCGTTCCTGTCCGTCCTTCACGCCCTACCGAGGTCACCAGTTGCCCCCCACGAGCGGCTCTCCGGCACGGCCATGGCCCCAGAAGCACAGAGACCAATCTCTTAATTATCTGACTTTTAGTAGAAATACTTCCAGGGTTAATAAGTAAAATAGCAGAAATCCAAAACCGTGCGGCCGTGACAACATTTAATTCTTAAACCCAGCTGTAGAAAGCAAATCATTTCACAACGCTTTTTCAGCATGTCTGATTTGGGGGGATTTGGGGGGGGGATAAAATCTAAATAATAATGGTGCATATTTTATCGAAACAATGAATCTAGTCAAAGTAGATAGAGTGTTAACTAGAACTCATCTGCCTCACAGGAATTGGGAGGGGTGGGAGGTGGGGTTCTATTGGGGTTCGTGGTAAAAAAATAAGTATTGGTAAAGGGAAATGTGTTTGATATTTACATGACTGAGACCTAAACCTGAAAGCTCTAACTTTTCCCACAGTGATTCAATAAATAAATTATAAAAAAAAAGCAGATGTTTTGAATATTGAGATTTCTTTCCTACTAAGCATTTGGCAGTATAATAGTATTGAATATTAGTGATGAAGAGTTATCTAAACTAGGTCATAATAGTTGTTAAAATATTATTACTATTAATTTTAAAATGATTTCTTTTGGGACTGGGAATGTATGTAGCCCAGTTTAGTGAGGAGAGTGCATGCCTTAAGTGCATGCCTTAAGCATTAGCTTAGATCACTGGTACCACAAAACAAAAAAATATTTCTTTTATTGTGCATATGGTATAATGTACACACACGTAGATGAATAGAGCTAATCTGAAATTCCATAAGACTGTAAATCAATGATAAGTTCAGAGTAAAATTTTTAAAAAAATCTTTATCTTTGTTACAATAAAAAACATTGTTTGTTTTGGGGTCACACCCAGCAGAGCTCAGGGAATACTCCTGGCGCTGCACTCAGGAATGACTCCTGACAATTCTTAGGGGGACTATATGGGATGCTTGGGATTAAACCTGGGTTGGCTACATGCAAGACATATGCCCTGCCCACTGTACTATCTCTGCAGTTTTACAAAAAACATTTTAAACTGTTCAACTCTTCATTATTCTTTCTAGCCTGTCATATTAATTCAAACTATTCCTTTTAATATAAAATTACATCTTGCTAAATTTAGTTTTCACACTAAGTTTTTCTATTATGGTTGTAGAATATGTTTCAACAGCAACAGCAGATTTTTCAACAAAGTAGAATTGTTCAGAGCCAGAGACTGAAAACACTTAAACAATTATATGACCAATTTATAAAGGTTTGTAGTATTTGATAACATAATACATGTTTATAAGATATGTAATTTATTTATGTAAAAATATATTACTTTCCTCAAATTTATGAGAAAAAACATATTTAAATTTTTAATATTTTAAATCTTAATTGCCTTCCATTTTGCATTTTGATTTGATTTTTTTCATTTAAGTATAAAATATGTATTTTATTTTAGAACTCTATAATGTTTTAGGGTTCAAAACAGGAAGTAGCAAAGTGGATGAATTTTCAAATGTTTTATATATATTTAAATATATCATGGCATATTTACTTTCAGAATTTTTTTTTTAATGTAAGAGTACTGCTATTTATTCAGCCACTGATTAGCTGATTGAATTGGGCATGAACTCCACCTTACTTTTTTTTTTATAATTTTTTTTTATTGAATCACCATGAGAGCAGTTACAAAGCTTTCGGGTTTAAGTCTTGGTCATATACAATGAAACACCCGACCCTTCACCAGTGCCCATTCTCTACCACCAAAAACCCCAGTACACCCCCATCCCACACCCTCCCCCTACCTGTGGAGTAGATGATTTCCACATTACTCTCTCTCTACTGATCAAGCTAATTAACTAAGGCAATGATCCCAGAGACTCAGAAAAAAATCTTGAAACCTAATGGCTTTTGGCAGAAATGCAGCAGCTCCCTACAATAGGTTACCGATGCTGGGCCAACCCAGGGGGAAATAGGTTTCGTGCCTTGGCCTGTTCCCCCTGGAGGCCCGGTGGCCATCATCTGCCAGAGACCACTGGACAGTCAGGTTTGGGCCCTCAGTGACAAGGGCCGGCCCTTTCCTCCCCACCCCAATGAGACCCGAGTCGCCGCCCACGAACGGCCTCTCTGGCTCCTGATCAAGCTGTAATGGCCATGATCCCAGAGACTCAGAGACAAATCTCGGAACCCAGTGGCTTTTGGCAGAAATGTGTCCGGATCCCGCAGTAGGTTACTGTCGCCAGGCCATCCCAAAGGGGAAAGGGTGTTGTCCCTCCGCCTGCTCCCCCTAGGTGGCTCGGTGGCCGCCATCCTCCAGAGGCCACTGGACAGTCAGGTTTAGGCCCTCAGTGATGAGACATGCGGGGCCTCATGGAATGGAGGTGGAGTCGGCCCTTTCCTTCCCGTCCCAACGAGACCCCTAGTCGCTGTCCGTGAACGGCCTTTCTGGCTCCTGATCAAACTGCTTAATTGCCATAATCCCAGAGACTCAGGAACAAATCTCAGAACCCAGGTTTTGGCAGAAATCCCTCCAGATTTAAAATTTTGGAATTTCAAAATCACGCGGCCACTACTGCAGCCATGTGACATCATATGTTATTCTTAACCAGCAATAGAAAACAAATTGTCTAGTGTTGCCTTTTCAGCAGATCTGAGTGTTGGGGTAAAATCCCAAATAATAATGGTGGGTCAGGTGTCAAAGTATTGAATGTGATCAAAATAGAGAGTAATGTGGAATAAGGTAATGATCATGTAAATTTCTCCATAGCACTGAACCTCATACATTTTACATAATAGACTATAGTATTTTTACTTGTTGAAAATTCATAATTTTATTACAAACTGAAGCAGAATCTACAGATATTTTATTCCCTTTAATAGTCCATATCACATTAACTACTAGTCATAGTAAGTGAACTGCAATCTGATTATTTAGAAATTTTATTAGGAAATTTCAAAATAATGATATTTAGTGATATGGCACTTAATTTTTTTTTTAGTTTGACATTAGCAGTTTATTAATACATTGTTTTTATTTTATTTTTTTATAGGGGGTCACTCCTGGCTATGCTTAGCTGAGCCAGATGGTGCTCTGGGAGCCACAAACAATGTTGGGAATCAAACTCAGGGCTACACACAAGCTAGACTGTCTATACCACTTGTGCCATTTCCCAGTCCCCATTAACCCACTGTTTTCAGCGAAATACACTACTGTTGTACCTCTAAAAATAATATTTTATTCATTCTGACCTTTTTAAATAGTTTTTTAGGCCACACCTGGCATTGTTTTGGGATTACTCCTAGTTCTGTACTCAGGCACTGCTCCTAGTGGTGCTTGGAGAGGACCACCTGAGGTGTGGAGAATCAAACCTAGGTTGGCTTTGTGCAAGGCACATGCCCTACCTGCTGTAGGACTATCACTCTGGCCCGGTTTATTTAGAAAATTTTTATTTGGAATAATAATGTGTATTAGTTAAATATTAAGCATAATTTTTGAAAGTTAATCATACAAGTTTAGAACCTGAAAATAAAACAACTGGTGGTTTATACTAAACTAATCTTTTGTATTTTAGAATATGGAGGAAATGGAGAAGAATCATGATGTTCTACTTACTGGTGCACACAATGAACTTAAAAAAGAAATGGCTATGTTACAAAAACAAATCATGATGGAAACTGTAAGTTACTATACTTAAAACTTAAAGAAAGCATTAAGAGAGCATTGAAATATTTATTTGCTGAAATATGTGTAACACTTATCTAAAAATTAAACAAATGTTTATTATTTCCTTTTGTGTAATAGCAGCAGCAAGAGATGGCAAGTGTTCGAAAGTCTCTTCAATCCATGCTATTCTGATGACTCTTTGAAGGAAGAACTTGAACCTAAGTAATATGATACAATTATAACATTAGCTAGGTAATAAATATGTAAATATTTAGTGATTTAAAATTTTTAGTTTTAAAAAAGCTTTTAAATATTACAGACTGTTAATTATTAGGCTAAGTGAAAGATTCCTTTTTCTGTTATCTTTCAAGTGAAACTTAAAGTTATACTAGCAGCAGCAATTCCTAAATTTTATGCACCACGGTTTCAGTTCTGTAATTGTAACTGAATTCTCTCTAATACTTGTCAATGAGCTTTTAGAAATAAAGATAACAAATTCAGTATTTGACTTCAGTGTATCTGTGTCAGTTTCAAAAAGTAAAAATCACAAATATGGAAGATAACATTGTTCTTTTAAAAAACAGTATCTAATTTATATTTACATTTTATAAATAATTGTTATACTATCAGTACTAACAGACATAAGATTTGAAAAGAAAATATAGCTTATAAATCTATTAAAAGTACCTTAAGCTTACATTCTGTAATAAGCTGCTACACACTATTAAGACAATACACATATTAAGAACAATACATGTAAATATATGTAAATATCAGTTTTAAGACATGAAATCATGAATTTCATTTTCAAAAATACATCAAATTGCCATTTAATGGGATTGAGCCATAATAAAATTATATATTTATCTGTAATTATGAATATTAAAAGCATATCAACATACCAGGTACTTCATATCTCTCTTTAAGCATAAATCACCTAGAACAGTGCTTTATAACCTTTTTATACACACAGACTGGTAAAAATAAGAGAAACATTTCATGGATTATTATAGCAGAAGTAAAATAATCATACAGTATTTATAAGTGTAATATTGTAAAATGAAAACTGTGTATTGAGTGGCAATATCCTTTCTCAAAGACCATCAGGAAATTAGTCTGACACTGGCCTGTGGACTTTGAGAACCACCCACCTAGAATTTGTTGTTTTGTTTGGAGGCCACACTTGGCTGTGCTTAGTTAAGGCTTACTACTCATTCTGTACTCAGGATTCACTTTTGGTGGGGCTTAGGTGGACCGTATGGTATACTTGGAATCAAACCTGGGTTGGCCACATGCAAGTGAAGAGCCCTATCCTTTATATTATCACTTCAGCCCCTATTAATAATTTTCTTATGTCAATTGGCTTTACTATTTTATTTTTTATAAAAAAGGAATATTTATTACCTCTCTTTTTTTGTAATAAAACTTTATTTGAAAACATTAAGGAACAAGCTACCTTTACTGTAAAAATTAGTTTTTCTGAACTGGTAAGATAAAATTACTTTTACTAAATATAAATGATAGAAAATCCAGCATGTTTTTTATATTCTATGTGTTATACAAGGACAAGTGTTTACTTTCATACAGTAGTAGTTAACATATTTTTAAAATGACTAATATTTCATATAACATCATCTGCCTCAGTAAAGTATTACAAGCATTTATTCAGTATCATGAACTTAATTAATTTTCAATTTCTAAGAAAGCATGACTGACAAAATGGTTGAAATCCTTTAAGTCCTGAATTTTAAAAATCTTTTCATAATGAAAACCCCAACTGTCTGAAAAAGATTTCTGAGATAAAGAGATTGCCATTTAGAACTACAGTGGTTCACTTTCTTATCCACAGAAAAGTAATTTCTTTGGTTTTGTTCCTAATTACAGATTATATTGCTTTGACAATAAGTGATGATACACAATGAAGTTGTCACAACTGAAATAGACATAATATGTAGAACTTAATGGTTCATATTAAAATATAACCTTATTTGATAATATACTAGCCTCCTGCAAAAGGGGATTTCCTTCACTCATAGCTTCCCCTAACTGCTTCTCCTCTTTTCCTTGGATTATTAGTCAATATGCTTGTGAACCTGTTCAGGTGCTTGATGATAGGAAGTCTTGAAAATATTTATATGAAGGTGTCTTGAAATTTGCAGGCACAAAGCACTAAAGTATATCATCATATCAAATGAAGAAATGACCTTTAGAAGCAAAAAAGAACACAAAATAGATTACAATCTCTTTTCATAAGCAGCTCTTTTTTAAAAAATTTTATTGAATCACCTTGAATCACAATCAAAGCTTGTGAGATAGTTACAAGCTTTCATGTTTGGATTACAATCACACAATGATCAAACACCCCTCCCTCCACCAGTGCACATTCCGCACCACCAATATCCCCAGTATACCCTCTTCTTACCCACCCTCCCCAGCCCACATTTCTTAGAAAATTCTGGCAGTTGAGGGGAGATTTATGTAAAATGTGTGATATGTAACATTAAAGAGGAAGGCAATATGGAGAGTATCATGCTAAGCGAAATGAGTCAGAAAGAGAGGGATAGACATAGAAAGATTGCATTCATCTGGGGGATATAAAGTAACAAAGTATGAGATTAATACCCAAGAATAGCTGAGATCAGCACCAGGAGGATTACTCCATAACTTAGAGGCTAGCCGGGTATCCTAGAGGAAAGGGCAGTTCAGATAGAGAAGGGAGCACCAAATAAAGGATGTTTGGAGGATCCTCCCAGGAGGGGAGATGCATGTCGAAAGTAGACTATGGACTGAACATGTTTGCCACTCAATGCCTCTTTTGCAGACCACAACACCCAAAAGGAGAGAGAGAACACAGGGGATTGCCCTGCCACAGAGACAGGGGGGATGGGGGGATGGGGGTGGGAGGGATATTATCCATGGTGGTGGAAAATGGGCACTGGTGGAGGGATGGGTATCTGATCATTGTATAATTGAAACCAAAGCACAAAAAATTGTAAATCTACAACTGTAAAAAAAAAATAAAATAAAATAAAGGGAAAAAAAAAGGCTGCCAAAAAAAATTATTGTGAACAATTTCTTAAAAATTAAACCAAATTAAATTCAAATTAAATAATTTAAAAAAAATCACATAGTTCAGGGGCAAGTTCTTCCTCTCAGAACAAAAAGCCTCAGCTCTTAGTCCACAAGAAGGAATTTTTCTCACACATAATGGAAAACTGTCCATATCATATTCTTTATACAATTTCATATGATCCTTTTCTCTCTGACACAGAGAATGTTTTGCCTTAAAGATGCTAAAGGGCACATTGTGTGTGTGTATGTGTGTGTGTGTGTGTGTACATAGTATATTTTGTTTTAAATTATGGTCCATATAGTGTTATAAAAATTGAATTTTATTTCCTTACATTAATTTCTACCACTAGTATAAACCAGATTAACTCATTTGTTACATAATAGATATTTTGTTCATTTTGCTATTTTTGTTGTAGAACAAAACACTGCTTATGTATATTTCTGATCAAGCTGGGAGTGAGGGAGCCACATGCAGCACTGGGGATTCAAACAGGATTGGTTGGATGCAAGGCAAGTGCCTTACTCCTTATACTCTCTCTGTAGCCCTGTTAATGGACACTTCGCCAAAGTGATAGACATACTGAGGTAGGGAGAAATACAGTGTAACTGAAGACCAAAGATCCTGCATCTCAATAAGTTTAATAAGGCTTTTGTGATTAAGGTTTTACCAATAATGTTTTTTGTTTTTCTTAGATGTATAAGCTTCTCTAACAACCATAATGATATATTTTATAATTTTGAATTGATCAGGATATAAGTGAGAATACTCTTTGCATATTTATAATAGGTTTGCTTATTTCTAGCATAAATGGTCCCAGAATATTGTACTAGTAGTACTATCTGTTTTGTTTTTTTTTTTAGGATTAGCTGATAATTCTTGATGTAATTAATTATCCACTTTGCCTTACACTAAACCCCTAATCTATCTGTATCTGTTCTAAGCTCAGAATAAGTTTTTAAAAGCTTAGGTAAAATTCATACTAGTAAATTTCACAGTCTTTTGGGAAGAATAATTTTTTTACATCTTTGTACTTCTGTGGAGTATAAGGTAACCTGTTGTGCTTTCAAGGATTTCGGTTGGTGATCTCCAGATCTGTAGTCCATTTCTAAACGTGGTGAATATTTCACAGATTAAAAGTTATGTTGGGCTGGAGCGAGAGCACAGCAGGTAGGGCATTTACCTTACACGTTGCCAACCCGGGTTCTATTCCCAGCTTCCCATATGGTCACCTGAGCACCGCCAGGAGTAATTCCTGAATGCAAAGCCAGGAGTAACCCCTGAGCATTGCCAGGTGACCCAAAAAGAAAAAAAAGTTATGTTGCCAGGAATAACCCCTGTGCATCGCCGGGTGCGACCCAAACAGCAAAAATAAATAAATAAATAAATTAATTAATTAATTAAAAGGGAGCTGGAGTAATAGCACAGCGGGTAGGGCGTTTGCCTTGCACGCAGTCAACCCAGGTTTGATTCCCAGCATCCCATATGGTCCCCCAGAGCACCACCAGAGGTAATTCTTGAGAGTGTGAGCCACAAATAACCCCTGTGCATCACCAGGTGTGACCCAAAAATAAATAAAATTTATGTTAAATATTATGAAAATTATTTTATAATATTGAGGTTCCCTGATATTTCACTGACGTAATTCTTAAGCATTGTGTTATCAAATATATGTTAATAATAAAAATCTTAATAGATTGAAACTTACCATTGCAATCCATAAAACAACATGTTCATCTACAAAATTATTAAAATATTGATCTAAAAATAAAAGACCTGGGCCAAAAAAGACAGTGTCTTGAAGATACAGTTCACTTTTGGTCATATGTGCTATCTAAAAGAAAGTAAAGAAAATAATTTCACTATTAAATTTTAAATGCATTACTTTTTATTTTCAAGACAATTATAATTTAATTCAATTATAACTAATAAAACTTCTAATTTTAATCATAAGTATAATTTAATTATAACCTTACTTAAGAATAAAAGGCTATTATATCCCACATGTAATATGGGAACTCTAAATAAAAAACTTCAAATTCATGATCAAGTAGATTTTAAAGTTTAACAATATTTAAATCCCTTGATAGCAGAAAGCTATAATAATTAGAACTAAAATAATTAAAAGAAATTACTAAAGATAGGGTCTGTCTCCCTGAATATAACATTAACTCTTTCATTGTTTTACTAGGAGCACAAATAGCTATTTATTGTGATGGTGATACCACAAGAAACCTACCCATTTGCATGTAAACATTTGCAGTTTTGTGTTGGAGGATCGAGTATGTTATTTATACCATAAATAATAAAATTTCTTACCACCAGTTTTTGTGAGACTTTAGCAAAGACACATCCAAACATTAGGGTATATAAACAAGGATGCTTTTCAAACACATTAGTTGCAGACTTTTTATAGATCATTATCGCCAGTATAATAATAATTCCTATGTGGAGGCCAGGTGACAAGACACTGGTGCCCTAAGAGATAAAGCAGAAAGTCAGCATCATATTTTAATGTTGTATTCAGCACAATGCAGACATCTTTAGAAATCCATTTTGTTTAGGAATCTATATATCTAAAGAAGAGTATAATATAGTGTATAATCTAAAGAAGTATATAGACCTTAGGTATGCTCTTAAAAATTCCACAAAATATAGGGATACACAGAAATAATACAGTGTGACAGATGGTTTGTTCCACTTTAATTAAAAGTTGACTTATATATAAAATTTTAATATGAGGAACGATATAAATATTTGGATTAGTTATCAAGTTAATATTTTTGTGTAAACCGTGAGATCTCAACTTTACCCTGGTCTGTCTTCATGCTAACACTCTCCCTGACTTTTTTTTGCAGTTAGACAGTAAATGTCCTTTCCATAACTTAGCAAAATTCAACTCATAACATTTTAGGGGGTGGGAAAATTTCCATACTTGATCCCTGGCACCACAGGGCCCCCAAAGAACACAGAACTTCTGGGAATAGATAGTCCTGATGAACCCTGAGCACTGCTGGGTGTAACCCTGATGTCCTCTAGTTACTGCATCACCAGGCCTCTGGTGCACTGACTCAACATGCCTGCAAAGCTGGGGCCAAATATTGGAAGTGATACCTGAGAACTACTTGGGTGACCCCACCGCCCCACAAACAGTACTTAGAAGCCCTGGGCCCCACTGGTGATTCTCAACTAATCCAGGCCAGTTCAATGCAAGGACCCCACAGTGCTGGGAATAAGCCTAGAAGTTTCACTAGTGTGGGAGGTGGGGCTTCCAGGGACATACCCAGTGAGGTGCAGGTGACATGTGCTGGGAACCAAAACCAGATGGGGCACATGCTAGGTATGCACCTTATGTGTTATCTTCTGCTTCCTACAACCCATGACATGCTTATCTAGGTGTATCAGAATTCTCCAAAGCATTATTTATCTTTCTCTAAGTACTATTTATCTCAAACAAAATATTGACATAAATTAGGTATTATGGCTTATTAACTATCATTTAAATGTCATTGAAACAGCTTTCCTCATGACAATTTTACAGATTATAAACTGGAACATATTATAAATTTATATTAATAAAAGTAAAGTAAAGTAAAGGCCCTCCCGTTGATCGTCAATTTGCTCGAGCGGGCCCAGTAACGTCTCCATTGGAGACTTTGTTGTTACTGTGTCCGGCATATCGAATACTCTCGGTAGCTTGTTGGGCTCTCTGAGAGGGGCGGAGGAATCGAACTCGGGTCGGCCATGTTGGCTGCGTGCAAGGCAAACGCCCTAATACCATAACAATTATAAGATCACAACTATTAAAAATAGACTAGTAAAATAGTGCCCTTTATCACCATCTTTATTATTTAGATTTTAATAAATAATCCCCCTAAAAGTTGGAAAACTACCTAGTTAAGAGTTTGAAATCAAACATTTCTTAGTCATTGTGTGTTTTTCGTTTGGTTTTGGTTTTTGGATAACAACCTTTGTGCTCAGGAACCATCCTGACAGTGATTCTTAGTCTTAGTCACTTAAGTCTTCCTTCAAACTTTTTATTCCCTTTGTGGTGAGGATTGTACTCATGCCCCAGACAAGCAAAGCATGTTCTTTACCACTGAGCTAATTTTTTTCTTCTATTCAAATATTTCCTAAAGTCTTGATAAGAATTCTGACTTTTTCCCTATATAAACAAAACTTTAAAAAACAAATATGAACATGAGAGTCTTAGAGCATGAACAAGATACAAAGAATATAAAGTATACTCATTCGCCTTAAGAATAAAATTTAAAATATTACCTTGCAAAATATTAGAATGGTTTTCTAAATCTATTTCAGTGAAATTTCAGTAACTATACTTCAGGATTAATAAATGTCCCATAAGTGAAATCATAATCTTTGGCAGTTTTCTTGCCAACCAATTAGGAAATCATTTTATTCCTTCTCCTTTCTCCTATCATACAGTATGTATGAAAAGAAACAGGAACTCTTCAATATGTACATAAGTAAATTAGTAGGCGATTAAATGGAATGCCAGAAAAGTCTAAGAGAATGCAGAAAGAGGAAAATGTTTCATCTGTGTAAACTATTTTGAAAAATTACCTTTGTACTCTGTGACTAAAAATGCTCTAAGATAGTGAACAGAGGGAAGGAGTGGGACTTGGCAGACATTACAGTGGGTAGGGCACTTGCCTTGAACGCAGCTGATCTGGGTTTGATCCCCAGCACCCTATATGGTCCCCTACAGCCCATTAATAGTAATCCCTGAGCACAGAACTTTGAGTAAGCCCTGAGCACCATTGGGTGTTGCTCCCAAAAACAAAAAAATAAAAGAGGGAAGGAGTGAGTGATATGGACACTAAGATCAAAATAGGCTATTAAATTAATAAATAATTAAATGGTTATTAAATCCAACTATACTGCAGTGATAACTTCACTATGTTACAAATAACAAATCAATGTGTATGTTAGTTATACCTCCAAAAATTACACTCTTTCTGTGAATCAAATATTTTTATTCCTTTCTCCATTCCAAACTTTGGCATATTTTTAGTATCTATACAAAGTTTATCATAAAATTAATAGTAAATAATTTTGAAATTAATGACTTACTGCTATAGTGGATCCATTCTTGCCAACACCTCCATGGAGGATCACATGGAAATAATTGGAACAGGAAAATATTGCTCCACCTACTACTCCAAGAATTGGAAAGGTCTTCAATTTTATTTCTACAATGGGTATCTTAGGAGTAGAGGAAAAAAACAGATCACTAACATAGATTTATTTCTTGTATTGCATAGTAAAGAAGCATTATGGCATGTTACAATAACCTATCCTTTTTCTTATGATCAAATTTCCACTTCTGAAATACAGGCTGATGTGCAACTCTCTTCTAATGGCTTTATTCATGAAATGAAAAATGAGTTGATCAAATTCAGCTGTTACATTATTCTGTTGAAATATTTCATCTCACAAGCCTTCATCTGACATTAAAGAAAATAAGAAAAAGGATAGTTCATTTTTATTTAGTGCTTCTAAAAGGCAGGAAGCCAGACACCATGATCTGCATCATGAATGTAACAAATATAATGTACCTGCATGCAAAAAAAATTGCTTAGTAAATACCCAGGATTAAGTCTCTAGCAGTTTATTTACCTGTAGGTCAGTTGCTGTTCAAGGAAACTTCCAAAGGCAGCAAAGGATTTAAAAACAATAACAATGAAAAGCCAAAAGCTGTAGGCAGTTTTTTGAAATTAATTTTTTGAAAATAGACTGAAATATTGTACCAAAATAATGTGGAAACCACAGACTAACAATTATATTTGGAAAACCTGTAATGTTCAGGGGGACTGATTCAGTGCGGCTACTTCTGGCAAAGTTCTTTGGGGGAGGGGGTCATTCCTGGACTCCGGAGGGGTGAGGGAACATCTGTTTGAATCCGACTTCCTGCATGCAGAGTTCCAGCCTACTGTGCTCCAACCTACTGAGCTATTTCTTTAGCACAAAGACCTATATTTAAAATAAATATTCTTAAGAAAAAGCAGGTTTGCATTATTCCTATGGCATTGCCAAAACACTGAATAAAATTATTTCAAGATTAAATTCTTCCTCATTGGAATAAGATCAGAATTCTAAATTTAAGTAAACCACAGTTGAGTTAGTGACTGGAGTTAACTGCCTCGAGGTCAACATTCATCTTAATTGTACTAGCTGAGTAGCTACTATTAAAAAACATATAGCATTCCACTTGTATATTATACACTTTGCAGGAGTATACTCTTATTTATCCTTACATATTAGGAAAAAAATGACTGTCTCAAGAAATGGACCACTACTTTATTTTGTTTGTTCGTTTTGGGTCATACCCAGGAGGCACTCAGGAATCACTCCTGGCATTGTCTGGGGGACCATATGGGTGCTGCAAACAGAACCCACGTTGGCTGAGTCAGCTATACCCTCCCATGGTATGCAATCTCTCCAGTCAGACCAATAACTTAAAACATGTTCAAAGTCTGTTTTTGAGCTAGTGGTTATGAGCTAGATAAGAAATTCTAAAACCAAATGCCACAGGGAAATTTCTTACTATCCATAGCAGGTTTTTTTTTTTTTGTAAAACTTTTTTTTTTTGGTAAAATTACATGTACGAACAGTACATGTAATTCCCATATACTCTTTTGCCACCTTCCTACCCTTGGTCCACTTTTAACATTCCCACTAGAGTAGTACTTCTGTTATAATCCCAGAACATACAGGGATACACCCTATCGTCATTATCTATAGTTTAATTTGGGATTCATTCTTGAGGTTACCTTGTAAGTTTGGGCAAATCCATAATGACATTTTTCCACCATCATAGTATAAGAATGGTTTGATTGCTATAAAAATTCATGGTTTGCCTCAGAAGAAAATTCATAAAGAAAAAATTATTCTACTTAGTGAGGTTACAATACTAGGTGACTCATAGCCTCATGCTCACACAATTAATAATAATAAGGAGGGGGCCAGAGATAATACATTGAGTAAGGTGCTAGCTTTGCACACGGCTGCCCAAGGTTCCATCCCTGGTATCCCATATGGTCGCCCGAGCCCACCAGGAGTAATTCCTGAGAGCAGAACCAGGAGTAAACCATGAAAATCGCTGGGTGTTGCCCAAAAACCAAAAAAAAAAAAAAACCCAATAATGATAATATCAGAAATCAACCACTGTAGCACTAAACCTCCCGTTGCTCATTGATTTGCTCGAGTGGGCACCAGTAACGTCTCAATTGTGAGACTTGTTACTGTTTTGTCATATTGAATACGTCACAGGTAGCTTGCCAGGCTTTGCCATGTGGGCAGGATACTCTGGGTAGAGGGACGGAGGAATCAAACCCGGGTTGGCCTGGGTAGGCTGCGTGCAAGGCAGCCGCCTACCATCTGTGCTATCGCTCCAGCCCAAATCAACCACTAATATAGATTATTTATTTATATTTATTTATTTTCCCACTTTAAATACTGTGGTTTGCAAAGCTGTTCATGATGCATTTGTTATAGGCATTCACTATACCAACCCCAGTCCCACCTCCACTGTGACCTTCCCGCCACCATTGTCCCCATTTTTCCAGACACCACTCAAGCCTGCCCCTGTAGTAAGCCCAAAATAATTTATTTTATTGTGGCTTGTTACCATAAATGGCTAATGGATTTATCAAAACATACTTCAGTAAAAGAAAATTTGTAATTTTTTTAAATATCTCACCATGGGGATATTAAATCCTGAAGATGTGCTAAGCTGTTGTTACTAGTTGAGCCTTCTGTCCTAATGTTTCTGCTCACTGAGCTCAGTTGACTTCTACATTACATTCCCATCCAATCTGGAGTGCTCCTACTGGGACATTAGTATTGTAGAGTTTGGAGATGTCGTATGGCCACCAATGCAGCCTTGAGCTCCAGAAAAAAACAAATCTTTAACTGGGCAGTGAGTTTACATGGTGAGTGTCGTGGAGTGGGGGTGTAGCTGCCAGAGCTTCCTGAAGTACAGTTGGAGGGGGGAGGTCACCCACTCTTACCCAAGACCCTGAATTTTCAACCCAGAAAACCCAGTATTACTGAAATTTTGGCAACTTCCCAACTCATGTTCTTAAAGACTTTACTATCACTGTTTCATCTGATTTCAGAATACATGCCAATAAATACTACCATTGCTTTATAAGTAACTCTTAGACTGATTAGTTTCTCCAAGGACACATTAACTATTAAGTGCTGGGAATTAAGTAGTAAAATAGTAGCACTGTCCTGTAGCACTGTCCTGCCATTGTTCATCAGTTTGCTCGAGCAGGCACCAGTAATGTCTCACAACAAGTTGTAAGACTTGTTGTTACTGTTTTTTGGCATATCAAATACGTCATGGGTAGCTTGCCAAGATTTGCTGTGCGGGCAGGATACTCTTGGTAGCTTGCCAGGCTTTCCAAGAGGGTCAGAAAGTAAAACAGTAAGCTACAAAATTAAGTATAGGATATTTTAAGTCCAACAACTGTATCCCTTTGTATTTAATCAAATAACTTGGAAAAAATACCCAAACAGAAGCCTGAACATGGATGTTCATACATGTTTTATTTATAACTGCCAAATCTCAAAAGCAACAAAGATATCCTTCAGTAGGTAAATGGATAGGAAAAAAAACTATAGTGCATCCAGATAATGGAATATTAGTCATTGTCTAAAGGAAAGAGTTATTAAACCATTAAAAGACATGGAGGGGGGAAAAGACATGGAGAAAATTTAATACATATCTAATATGAACAACAATATGGAAATAGCTACATATTTAATGATTGCAACTAGTCCAGAAAAGGTGAAGCGATGGTGGCAGAAATGATCAGTAATTTACCAAAGTTTGGGGAGAGAGATGTATTGTGGAGAGGGATAGGGAAATTTTCTTCCATGTGGTAATTATACACTGGGAAAAATCCCATAAAGTGTAAAGGATAATAAAATTACAAAGTGAAGGAACAGGTTAAGAAATAAAATAGTTTAAAATGAGAAAATCAAGTACCTTGGAATTAGCTTTACTAAAGAGGTGAAAAAACTATACAAAGGAAACTACAAAATACTACTTCAAGATAAAAGGGGACACAAGGAAATGGAAACACTTTGCCTGCTCATGGATCGGAAGGATTAACATCATCAAAATGGCAACAGTCCCGCAAGCATTGTATAGATTCAATGCAGTCCTCATAGGGATACCCCTGACATTTTTCAAAGGAATAAATCAAACACTCCTGAAATTAATATGGGACAATAACCCCTCACAAATAGCTAAAGCAATCCTTGGGATAAAGAAGATAGGAGGCATCATCTTCTCCAATTTCAAACTGTATTGCAAAACAGTAGGAATTAAAACAGTATGGTACTGGAATAAAGACAGACCCACAGATCAAAGGAATAGAGTTGAGTATCCTGACACAGACCCTCGAATATATGATCATTTAATATTTGATAAAGGCACAAGAAATATGAAGTGGAGCAAGGAATGCCATTTATACAAGAGGTGCTGAGAAAAAGGGGCAAAACCATGCCAAAAAATGAACTCAGACATCTTTCTAATGCCATGCACAAAAGTCAAATCAAAACTGACTAAAGACTTCAGTATCTGATCTGAATTCAAAAGGTATACAGAGGAAAATTTAGGCAGAATTCTCCATTGAATTCTACCTAAAGCCATTGAATTCAAAGCATTGAAGCCAAAGGCATCTTTAAGGATGAAATATCACTGTCCAAGCAAGGTGGAAACAAAGATAAACAAATGGGACTGAACATTAAACTAAGAATTTTCTGCACCTCAAAAGAAATGATAACCAGGATACAAAAACAACCCACAATTATTTACTCAACACCCATTTGATAAGGGCTTAATATCAAAGATATATAAGGCACTGGTAGAACTTTATAAGAAAAAAATCCAACACCATCAAAAGATGGGGAGAAAAAAATGAACAGAAACTTCCCAAAAGAAGAAATATAAATGGCCGATAGGCACAAGAAAAAATATGCTACATAATTAATAATCAGGAAAGATGCAAATTAGAACTGCAATGAGATATCTCATGCTATAGAGACTGGCACACATCAAAAAGAACAAGAACAATCAATACTGGCACGAATGCAAAGAGAAAGGGACTCTCATTCCCAGTCTTTTTGGAAAACAATATGGGCATTACTCAAAAACCTAGAAAATGAGCTTCCATATGACCCAACAATAACACTCCTGGTAAGTGGTCAAAAAGTCCAAAAACACAATACAGGAAAGTCATCAGCATTCCTATGTTTTTTTTGCAGCAGTATTCAAATAGCCAGAATCTGGAAATAGCCTGAGAACAGATGACTGGATAAAGAAATTATGGTACATCTACACAATGAATACTACACAGCTGTTAGGAAAAATAAAGTCACAAAATTTGCTTATACATGCTTGGACATGGAGAGTATCATGCTGAGTGAAATGAATCATAAAGAAAGGGGCAAACACAGAATTATCACACCTGTTTGCAGATATAAAATACATAGTATTGGGGCTGGAGCAATAGCACAGCAGATGGGGCATTTGCCTTGCACACGGCTGACCCAGGTTCAATTCCCAGCATCTAATATGGTCCCCTGAGCACCGCCAGGAGTAATTCCTGAGTGCAAAACCAGGAGTAGCCCCTGTGCATCACAGGGTGTGACCCCAAGAGCAAACAAAACAAAACATAGTATTGAGATTAATGCCCAAAGATAGTAGAAATGAGGGCCAGGAGAACTGGTCCATGGCTGGAAGCTTGCCACAAGTGAGGTAGGGGGAGTGCAGTTAGATCAGAGAAGGGACTATTATGACAATAATAGTTGGAAATGATCTATATCTATGGACAAGAACTGAGTGCTGAAAAGAGGTAAAGTGATATTTGGACTCATAAATTAAATCTCTTGGAAGAGTGCAACATAAGCAACGTGCCACAGAGATGCCCCTGGTTCCTACACTAGTCTGTGTCATCCAGGGCAACCTGGAGGGGACTGGATGAGGTTACCTCGGCTCCAACTAGCCCCAGCTAGCCGAAAACCTCCAGAACTCAATCGCTGCCATAGTCATGGCCGATTTCCACAGGTTCAAAAGAGCCTCATCCATGGGTGAATCTGCTGAAAATCCCAGGTATGCGGGACTTGTGACAGAAATCTCTAGGCTCGCATAGAGTTGGGAATGGGCTACCTCCCCACATCTCCCTGTGCTTCCAGTAGCCTGGCATTCATGCCCACGAACTGTCTCCAGGATCATATAAGCTTATTAACAGTCATGATTCAGAGACTCAGAAGTAAATCTCTTGGAAGAGAGGCACAAGAGATCAACACGCCACAGAGATGCCTCTGGATCCCAACGTCAACATCTAGCTAAAATAAAAAAAATTAAATTAACCTCAGCCGTATCACTGTATTTAAAATTTTAGAATTCCTGGAGCACGGCCAAATGTGGCCACGCAACATCTCTTAGTCTACACCACTGATGTACCTTCGGGTGAAATACAACAATCTTCACACACTTCCTCTAAATAAGTTTTCTGGTTCATTTTTAGCAGAGTATTCATAACAAGCAATACAAAAGAAATTATTTAGGTCCTGCTTTGGGGTCAGGTTTTGGGGGCTGGGGTGAAAATACTCAAAATATGGTGATGGGAAAGTGTAATGGCGGTGGGATTGGTGTTGGAATAGTAAGTGTAGTAAATTCTTGTGAACAACTTTATAAAAATAAAATTAAAAAATTATTTGCAAAATGAAAAAAGAGGTAAAGTGATATTTATAATAACATTTCAATATGAGAGAGAGAGAGAGAGAGAGAGAGAGAGAGAGAGAGAGAGAGAGAGAGAGAGATAGAGAGGTACCTGCTAAAGAGGTAGGCTGGGCGGGTGGTAGGAGGGAAACTGGGGACATTGGTGGTGGGAAATGTGCACTGTTGAAAGTTGGGTGTTGGAACATTATATAATTGAAACCCAACCATGACCAACTTTGTAACTGTGTATCTCATGATGATTCAATAAAAAAAGAGGGTGGGGAGTGAAAAAAATAGAAATGAAACAGACTCAGAGAAAAAACTCAACTCTCTGAGCACAGCCCTTGATTTGCTGGTACCAAGCATCACTTGGGAATAACCTCCAGCATAAAGCGGAAATAGCCCCCAAGCACTCCTGGGTGTGGCCCCCAAAATGGGGCGGGGGTGGGAGGGGAGTGAGGGTAATGTTTTTGAGGAAAAATACATGGCAATGTTTTCCCTAAATATTTAAAAAGCATTTAAATATAAATACCAGACTTACTGAATAGTCCCACATTGTTGCTCCTCCAAATGCAGACAATATAAACACCATCATTAACGCTATCTGGATTTCTGTTACATCCACTCTAAAGAAAGAGAATAAAGAATAGAAAAGATGCTCGTAAATAAAGTTCTTCAATAAGAATATTGATTGACCACATATATGTGTATTTTAAATTTTTGAGCCACGTCCAGTGATGCTCAGGAGCAACTCCTGACTTTGTGCTTGGGGGTAACTCCTAGCGATGCTCCGGGGACCGTGCAGTGCTGTGGAGGAAAACTGAGCCTTCGGCATGCAAAACACACTCAGCCCTTTAAGCCTGGAGAAACAGTCAATGTAGTTGAAAAAGTAAATGGAATAATATAAAGAGAGAAGGTACTGGAATTTACTGAGCATCTACTATGTGTTTTATATGCTACAAATTATTTCGATTTTTCTGAGTGGGAAAGTGAAGCAATTTTTTCAATTCTGTATGAGAACATCTGGCTACTTAGGAAAATTCAGAACCAATACATTCCCTACTAAGGACTCACAATTCAGAGATCTGCGTTCTTTGTCTTATTATGGGCAGTTATAGTAAATTATCCATAATTTTCCCAGCATTGTGGCTAGCGACAAAAAGCAATTAGGAAATCAGAGACTACAGAAAAAAAACTCAATGAGCTGATAATGTGGATTGCACATGTACAACACTTGCTCAGGGCCCTGAAACACTGATGATAGTAATTAGCATTAATTTAGCATTAATGTGAACAATGGCCTTAGGCCTTCCCTCTGCCAAACCATCCACAGATGGGAGCTTCTCCCATTTTGCACTGCCAGATTTTTAAATTTCAGAACTACTGTTTCACCACTGCATCAAAAAGTGGGACTAAAAAAAGTGGGATGGATGCCAAAGGTGAGACTGAGACAATGGCAGGTAGAACCAGACAGAGTGAGCAAAGAGAACTAGACACACAGAACTGAGTTCCTGCTTTGCACCTTTTGTTGGGATCCGAGGCACCGAATATTCAGCTCTATGTGTAAGGCACTTTTCCTGACGCCAGCCGTTTAGCTGTTTACCTACCAGTCTCACAACCATCTTTTGGTGGTGGCTTTTACGAGGGTCCTACTTTCAGGGCATGTGAAGAACTCACAAAAAAGGAATTTTAGAGTTCATGCCCCGTTACTTTATACTCTAAGTCAAATGCTGCTTATTTACTTTCTAGTGTATCCTATTTGTTTGTTTTTGTTGTGGGGCCACACCTGGCTTTGTTCAGGGCTTACTCCTCACTCTGTGCTCAGGAATCATTTCTGGTGGGACTTGGGGATCATTATGTGGTGCTGGGAACTGAGCCCGGGTCAGCCATGTTCAATCAAGGCAAGCAACTACCTGCCCCAGCCCCAAGCAATTTCTTTCATTTTTTTTTAGTCAGTTGGAGAATTTTATTTTTTTATTATTTTTTTTTCAATTGAATCACAGAGATATAGTTACAAAGTTGTTCATTTGTTTCAGTTATATAATGTCCCAATACCTGTCCCTTCACCAATGTACATTTCCTACCACCAAAGTTCCCAGTTCCCTCCTGCCCCCATTCCCTGCCTGCCTCTATGGCAGGCACTTCTTTTCTTTTCTCTCTCTCTCTCTCTCTCTCTCTCTCTCTCTCTCTCTCTCTCTCTCTCTCTCTCTCTCTCATTCTCTCTCATTTTCTTTCCACTCTCTCCCCCTGTGTATCTCTCTCCTCATGGTTGCAATACAGATACTGAAAGGTTATCATGCATGTATATCCCTTTACCTACTTTCAACACTCAGTTCCTGTCCAAAATGATCATTTCCAATTATTATTGTCATGTTGGTCCCTTCTCTATCCTAACTGCCCTTCCTAGTCCTAGCATATTCTTTTTTTATATATTCAGACCCCTTAGTTTTCTCTTGTCTAATGTAAGCAAGAGCCAGTAAAATGGAGGGAAAAAAATAAAGTTGTCAAGTCTGCAACTTTACAACATACGGGATATCTAAAGTATTAATTTTTGTCATTATTTTGGCCAATCCATTGGTATTGAGGGAGGGGGTATCTAACTAATGCAGGGAATTGTTCTCACCACTTGAGTCACTTATCCAGCTCTAAAAGATTAGAGAAAGATGTAACATTTACATAGGCGTAAATAAGTTAAAAAGTTCATTTAAATTCCTGATCAAACAACCTTTAGCTCGAGCATTCAAAAAGTGGCCTGGAGCGTGGCAGCGGTTGGGTATTGGAGGTCGGCTGCTGGAGCTGGGTCCCTTGGAGTGGGGAGGACTCTCACCTGCCCCTCTGGGGCGCCCCAAGTGAAAACAGCCTGGCGGGGAGTCCAGTGGCATGGTTATGGGGGCCTCATTTTATACTCCCTGCCGGGAGAAGCAGCCATGAGTTCTGGAGGGTGGCCAATGAGGTGCTGGCATTGAGTAGCTTATGGGTATGATCCCTGGCTCACCAGAGATTGGGGGAAGCAGGCAGAGGATCTCTGCTCCCAGGTACGTTGAGCCCAGAGTCTAAGGTCACAAAGTTACGCATGATCAGGGTTTGTGGGACTTCATTCTTTGTGTGAGGCTCGGCCCGAGCATCTGGAATGCGGCCTAGAGTGTGGCGGCAGTTGAGTAGTGGAGATCGGCTGCCGGGGCAGGGTCCCTTTGGGCAGGGAGGGCTTTCACCTGCCCCAACTTGGGGTGCCCCGAGTGAAAACGGCTTGGCGCAGAGTCCAGTGGCATGGTTATGGGAACCTCATTTTATGCTCGCTTCTGGGGGATGCAGCCATGATTTCAAATGAGAGCAATCATTTCAGATTCATTTAACATTCTAAAGCAGCAAAAATGAACTTCATTGAATTACAATATTGAAAGTTTGTAAATTTGTTTTTGACTTTTATCTAATAAAAATGAAGTTATACATCAGTGCTTATTCAAAAAAAACAACCTTTATCTCCTTTATTATAGACAAGTTGTGAAAAATAATTCAATTTCTGTTAAAATGTGCAACTTAAAGTACCATACTCACTTTCCAAACCTCAACACGCCTGAAACGTAAGTCTGCCAGTGGGCACAATAGAACATGAACATGCCAATGAAGGAGCAGAAGAACAGCCAGTCAGGATTTGTTCCTAGGCGCACGGCTAGCGAGGCCCCAACTGCCATAAATACTGAAAGACACAAGGTTTAAGAACCTTTGAGAATAAACAGTACTTAATGACCAATAAGCAATGAAACTGTTTCCACGTATTGATTAGGAATGCAGAGTTTGGGGCTGAAGCAATAGCTCGGTGGGCTGAGTGCATGCTTTGCATGCTGAACACTGATCTCACTGTCCCCTGAACCCGTTGGGGAAGACCCCTCGCACTGGGCTAGGAGTAGCCCCTGATCATTGCTGGGTATACTCCTCAAACAAAAACGAGAGCCCAAAAGCAGAATTTTAAGGGTCATAATCTTGACATTGAAGTACACTAAGCAAAAGCAATTCCTGAACATACTTTCTTCTCCTTTAAACAAAATTGGGGGGGTCACCCTGGGCAATGCCCACAGGCTGTTCACAGCTCATTATTCAGGGGCTGCTCCCACCAATGCTCAGAAGACCATGGGATGCCCAAGAGTCCACCGTGGCCGCCTATATGCCAAGCACATTCTCCAGCCTGTATATACTTCACATTTTAAAATGCATTGTACAAAATTATTCACAAATAAAGGGACACCTATTCAAACATCTATCTATTCTAAACTTCAATTCATTAAACTAATGGATTTTAGGTGCCAGGAATTGAACCCAGGGCCTTGTATATGGAAGGAACACGTTTTTCTGCTGAGCCCTATGCCCAGCCACATATGAGTTTATCTTTGTTTTGTTCTTGTGCTGGGGGATGAACCAAGGTTTCATGCATGTGATGCATTTACTCTACTGCTGAGCTAAATTCCTGGCCCCACATTTAGTTTTGGAGCCATCATTAAAAAAAGAAGGAAAGGAAGGAGGGAGGGAGGGAGGGAGGGAGGGAGGGAGGGAAGGAAGAAAAGGAAGGAAGGAAGGAAGGAAGGAAGGAAGGAAGGAAGGAAGGAAGGAAGGAAAAAGGGAGGAGAGGAAGGGGGGAGGGAGGAAGGAAGGAAGGAAGGAAGGAAGGAAGGAAGGAAGGAAGGAAGGAAGAGAGGGAGGAAAGGAAGGAAGGAAGGAAGGAAGGAAGGAAGGAAGGAAGGAAGGAAGGAAGGAAGGAAGGAAGGGAGGAAGGGAGGAAGGGAGGAAGGAAGGAGAGAGGGAGGGGGAGAGAGGAAGGGAGGGAGGGAGGGAGGGAGGGAAGGAAGGAATAAAAGGAAGAAAGGAAGGAAGGAAGGAAGGAGAGGGGGGGAGAGAGGGAGGAAAGGAAGGAAGGAAGGAAGGAAGGAAGGAAGGAAGGAAGGAAGGGGAGGAAGGGGAGGAAGGGAAGGAAGGAGAGACTGAAGGAGGGAAGGAAGGAGGGAATGATGGAGAGAAGGAGGGAAGGAAGGAGGGAGGGAGGGAAGGAGGGAGGAGGGAAGGAAGAAGGGAAGTAGGGAAGGAAGGAGGGAAGGAGGGAATGAAGGAGAGAATGAAAGAGGGAAGGAAGGAGAGAATGAAGGAGGGAAGGAAGGAGGGAAGGAAGGAAGAAGGGAAGGAGGGAGGCAGGGAGGGAAGGAAGGAAGGAAGGAAGGAAGGAAGGAAGGAAGGAAGGAAGGAAGGAAGGAAGGATGGAAGGCAGGCAGGCAGGCAGGCAGGCAGGCAGGCTCCATTATTTTACCTGTGGAAAGAGAATCACAACCATGGTCAAAGAGTTCCCCTAAAGGAGAACAAGAATTTAATCTTCTGGCTTGTTTCCCATCAATCGCATCCAGTGACTGGTAGATAAAGAGTCCCAGAGCACATAGAAGGTACGTCCAGTATGGTGCCTGAAAACAGAAGTAAATGTGAGACACTGTTAGTGAGACTGAGCGAGCTTCTTCCGGGGAAGCCAGCAGCATGAGAGTTGCAGAAGGCCATACTGTGAGAGGAACGAAGTTCAATGGCAGAGCCCAGGTTAGGGCTTGGACTCTGTGCCTTAGTCCACAGCTTCGTTGACACACCGTTCATCCATGGCATCATGTTTAAAATTACTCTAAGAGTATACCACTAAGTAAAAGGCCTTGAGGGCCTGCAGAGAAATCTTGCCTTGCATGTTTTATTCCTGGCACTACATGGTCTCCAGGGCATCCCTGGCCATGGCCCTGAGTATCCGCAACACTTCGGACTCAAGCAGCGTCGTGTCCTCAGGCCTTGCACTGAGTCGTCAGCCCAACTGGATGAGCATCTCTAAGAGGGTCCCCACGCTTCCTGAGCTCTGCTCGGGACCCCAAATTTAAAATCAGATGGCAGCCAGCTCAACCTTCTGATGTGTTGAGAAAATATGTAGCAGAGTTCAAGAAGGTGGAGGCAGCAGAATCTCTCTCTCTCTCTCTCTCTCTCTCTCTCTCTCTCTCTCTCTCTCTCTCTCTCTCTGTGTGTGTGTGTGTGTTACATAGTGATTCTTGGGAGCACGCCTTGGTGATATTTGGGTGATCAGCAATGCCAGGGAGGCCTCGCCTTGCAGGGGCAAACAGAAGCCCCTGCCATAAAGGGTTGGAGCACATACTCTGCATGCTGGATGCCTGGGGTTTGATCCCCAGCACTGCTTGGTCCCAAGAAACACCAGGAACTAACCAGAGCACAGAGCCAGGGGCAGCCCCTCAGGACGTCTGGCTGAGGCCTAAATGAAAACAAAAACACAGAACAGGAGCTCCAGTCCTTTAAATCATCTCCCCAGCCAAGGACGTTTTGTCCTTTCTGTGTGTGTGTGTGTGTGTGTGTGTGTGTGTGTGTGTGTGTGTGTGTGTGTGGTGTCAGGGACAGAACCCAGGGCCTTACACAGATGGCAGGTGTCCTCCTGCTGAGCAACATCACTGACCCTGCCTCATAATTCTTGAAGCCCACACTGAGACCGGCACTGGTAGAGTTTTGTGGAGAAAAATTAATCTCAATAGTGGAGAAAAATTAGTCTCATATGCCTCTCTGGGGAACACCCCCAAATTAAAATCCAGCCTCAAAATGATCTAATTTATTAAAGGTAACAGTTGTAGGCAACACGCACGTACAGCATCTTAGAGAAATAATGATAATAAAAAGTAAAATTTGTAGTATTGTGCATACTATCAAAAATACAAATTCAAAGTAGTAGTTGAAGATGACCGACAACTAGGGGTAAGATCAATCAACACAAGCAGATGCAGAATGACAGATCATGGAATTTTTCTTTTCATTTTTGGTTTTTGTTTATTTCTGTTCTCATGCCTTGATAGTAGACCCAAATCCATAAGTCATATTGAGAAAAACACAGGTCAAACTTTTTGTGATATTGAATCTAGATGTATCTTCAATAACGGCTGAAGACAGCATTTCATGCACAAGTACCAAATTCCCCACCAGAGAAAACAGTAACCTCCAGCAGTGGATTATAAAACTGTAAATCATGGTGACAAAGAAAAACAAAATATTCAAATCAATTTTATCATAATAATAACTTACATTCTTTAATATAACAAAACAAACATGACACAATAATGTAAATTATAGGGAACCCATTTCCTGTGGCAATAATTATTAATAACTGGAAGTTAAATCATGACTGTTAAATTCCTCTTAAGTGATAATTGCCTTTCTTCTTTCACTTAAAAACGATTATTTTTTGGCTATGGAGGAAAGAAGATCAGGGTGTGCACAGGGTCACCCCCAGCCATGCTCTGGGCTTTTCCAGACTCTTGAGTCAGGAAGCGTCGGGGTGGAGCCAGGCCTCCTGCATGCAGACACACAGACAGTGTGCTCAGTCCTCTGATGCTCTGTCTCCAGGAATACCAACCTTAGTTCAACTCACTGGTAAAGAAGTTAAACACTCAGAGATCTGGACTAGCCCCCAGAGCAACTGTTCTTGTAAAAAACAGCTCAGGAGGAGGACAGCAGTTAGGGTGCGTGCCTGAGCACCACAGGGCCAGTATCCCGCTACAGCTTGGCTCTTTCACTGAGTCTCTGGCCCAGATAGGGAGAATCAGCAGTGGAACTCCAGGGGTCTCCTGAGTCCCACCTGGGAGCTCACATCCACCCCACCATCCCACCCCCCCGCCAACTCCAAAAAGGGAGAGACGCTGTAAGAGGGCACTCATACACACAGCAGAAACAGCACCTGCACTCCTATGTTCACTGCAGCACTATTCACCATAGCCAGAATCTGGAAACAACCCAGTGCCCGAGAACAGACAACTGAATAAGAAACTATGGCACATCCACACAATGGAATACTATGCAGCTGTTAGGGAAAATAAAGTCATGAAATTTTCCTCTAAATGATTAGAAGTGGAGAGTATCATGCTGAGTGAAATGAGTCAGAATGAGAGGGACAGTATAAAATGACTGCATTCATTTGTGATAAAAATGTATATATATATATATATATACACACACAAATACTATATATGTATAGCAGAAGACTAATATTCATGGGCATGGAAAATGGGGTAGGAGGACTGGTCAATGGTTGGAATCAACCACAAGTGTGTGTGGGGCAGAGGGTAGGTAGGTAAGATAGAGAACCAGTATGACAGAACCAGGTAAGATAGGGATAAGTATGACAATCACGATCACGATCACGATCATCCTCTTGTTCGTCGATTGCCTTGAGCAGGCAACAGTAACGTCTCCTTCATCCTAGCCCTGAGATTTTAAAAAGTGCCATATTCAAGGCTCTTTCAGGGTTAGAAGAATGAGACCCATCATTGTTACTGGTATTTGCATATTGGGTACACCACGGGGAGTTTGCCAGACTCTGCCGTGTGGGCAGGTTACATTCGGTAGCCTGCCAGGTTGTCTAAGTATGACAATAATAATTGGAAATGATCATGCTGGACAAGAACTGAGTGTTAAAAGTAGGTAAAGAGATATACATGATAACCTATCAGCATCAGTATTACAAACCACAATGCCCAAAAGAAGTGGAGGGAGAGCAAGAGAAGAGAGACAGAGCAAGGACAGAGAGACAGAGACAGAGACAGAGAGAGAAGTGATCTGGGGATAGGGTGGGGGGTTGGGGGGCAACTGGGAACACAGGTGCTGGGAAATGTACACTGGTGGATGGGTGTTGGAACGCTGTCTGACTGAAACCCAATCATGAACAGCTTCATAAAGGTCTATCTCACAGTGATTCAATAAAAAAACTTTTCATTTCATTTCATTTCATCATCCTGTTATTCGTCGATTGCCTCGAGCAGGCCCCAGTAACGTCTCTTTCATCCTAGCCCTGAGATTATATTCAAGGCTCTTTAGGAGAATGAGACCCATCATTGTTACTGGTATTTGGCATATTTGGTACGCCACGGGGAGTTTGCCAGACTCTGCCCTGTGGGCAGGCTACATTCGATAGCCTGCAAGTTTGTCCAAAGTAGGAATGAGACAATAAGATCATTAAAAAAAAGTTCTGATAAGATGTCGCACGGCCGCGAAACTTTAAAACTTTATATAAAAAAAAGAGGGAACTCATATATAGATGAATACTTGATGCTGAATATCAACTTTCTTCCCTACCTATGCGTGAGCATGCCCTTTCAGGAATGAAGCCGGTGACCATCAGCGCAGGGACCCTGGACCCCACGAGTCAGGCACATGCCAGCCACTCCTGCTGGCTTCCTCGCTGCCTCCACAGGCTGTGCTTGCAAAGGAGATGCTTCCTTTCTCAATTTATTTGATGTAAATAGTGTTTCTTCCCTCCCTCTTTTTTTGGGAGCTTGTAATCAAACACAGGCACTCATATACTGAAAACATATATTCTATCTCCGAGCTACCCCGCCTCTTCTTAAATTTTATGATTTGGATGGGGAACGAGGGTTCCCAAGTCAGTGCTCAGGAGGCCTGGTAATGTTTGGCATCGGGGCCTGAGGACATGGCGCTGTGTCTGTCAGTGCTCAGGGGACCTTGGGTGCTGGGGATGGAACCAGGGTCAGCTGCAGGCAAAGCAAGCATCTTCACCCTCTACCATTTCTCCACCCCTCACCTCTTTGAAACGCCATTTAGTACATACTGGGGTTCCTGTTGGAAACAACCGAGTGGAAGGAAGCTGGAGGGGCACAAAGAGGCCCCTGGGGGGTCAGATCTCTTGCCCACATCAATTGTAGCCTCTGCTTTCACATCTGTTCTGGAATGTCACACAAACCAAGCGCTCAGCAGTATGGCCCAGCCCAGGGCAGGCTGTAATGCTCTCCGTATTTCTAGGATGCCATGGTCTTACTTCATTCACAGCGGAACCAGAGTCCCAAAGGCAGCGAGGGCCACTTCTTGGGATCTAGGCGTGGGGAAGTCATCACGTAGCAGGACAGATGCTCCAGCTTTCTCCACAGGAAGCAGGAGGAGATGCTGTTGTGACAGGGCTAGGACTAGGGTGGGTGTGACCGAGGAGGTCCCCCCAGGATGGGGCTTGTACTCCAAGGGACAGCCAGGCACTGCGCTCCCCATTCTGGCCCTGTCCCCGCTGCCTCCACTCCTGGGGCTGGAAGTCCATACTCATTTTATTTTATTTTCTGTTTTTTTTTCTTTTTTAGGGGGATCACACCTGACGATGCTCAGGGGTTACTTCTGGCTCTGCACACAGGAATCACTCCTGGTGGTGCTCGGGGGACCATATGGGATGCAGGCGGTTGAACTCTGGTTGGCCATGTGCAAGGCAAATGCCCTCCCCACTGGACTATCACTCTGGCCCCTCAGATTCATTTTAGTACAAGGTCATTTCCTTCCACAAGGTCCCACTTTGACTCTACAGAGCTCAGCTTCTACCCACCAGGGAACATAGACCGTCCTTGTTGGTCTTGGTCTTCAAAACTGAGCCACCTCTGAGGAT